GTAAAGACATGTATTATGATCCAAAAGATATTTATTTCAAATAAATGTGGTTTATTTGGACTTTCTATTTATCAAAGAACCCTAAAAACAATTATCTGTTAAAAATGATCTATTAAAATATTAAGAACAACTGTTTTCACCATTATAATAAGAAGAAATATTTCTCGAGCACCAAATCAGGCATATTAGAATAATTTCTGAAGGATCATGTGAAACCGAGGACTAGCGTAATGGCTGCAGAAAATTCAGCATTGCCATCACAAAAATAAATTACATTTTAAAATATATATAAATAGAAAACAGTTATTTTAAATTGTAATAATATGTAACAATATTACTGTATATTTACTGTATTTTTGATCAAATAAATGCAGCCTTGTGAGACTTATTATTAGTAGTATTATTATTACTTTATTTTTTGAAATTCTATAAATACACCTTTGCTGGAAAACAATGTCATACAATTACTCCTTGGTTTGTAGTTTTCAACACATTCTTACTGATTCTATTTTCAACACAATCCCAATGAATAAAAATGGATGTGCAAGATCAATGAACTTTCAGTGACTTTTCAGTTAACTTATTGGTGAGCCCTGAGTGTATGTTCACAGACCAAATGTCCAAAAGTGTGACTATTCACTTACAGTAATATTACCAATAAAATGAAGCATACAGTTACAAGCAGCTTAATATGTTGAGATCGCCTCAAGTTTTTTGTGTCCATTTTGTATTGCTGCCACAAATGCTGGTGCCACAAATTCTAGAAAGCCTTTATCATCAGTTTGTTTTTCATATGCTCTTCCCACAATCCTTAACCCCCATCCCCCTTTTCACCCTCAAATGGAAAAGAGGATGGAAAAAAACAACAACAACCTCTACTTCCTGTGAAACTGTTGGTCGCACCTCTTGACTGCACTGACGGGGGAGAGTAAAGCCATTAAAATGACACGGAGACAGATCGTGTGTGACACTTCAAAGGGTCTGGAAAAAGCTGGAAAACTGAGCAGCGCAACCTCCTCATACACCCTCTGGCGGGAAAGAGAGGAGAAAAAAAAAACACAAAGCCGACAAGCACGCGCCGCATGGTCAACACAAGCTCCCAGAGACTCCAGCGCTCTCCTCTCGGCCTCCCCCCAGACCCAAACACAGACTCGTCCCCCGCGACTACACGTCCAATGATTACACTATTCCCGCTCTTGTGCTCAGAGGAGCTAATTAATGCTTTAATATGCAAATGAGTGCCACAGTAAATTACACAGCTGGCAAATATGCCTGTTTTGCCCCCAAAACTACATCAGGAAATGAGCAAGACTGCGTGTGGATTGTGAATGCAAAGAGTCAGAAGGTTTATTTCGAAACTGCAAAGATAATTTCACCTCAAAGTTTTGATGGCGCAAGGGTAAAAGTTTATGAAGAGTCTATCTGCAAGATCTGAACAGGTTTAAACAGCGAACAGGGTTTTGGACAGCGAATGCCACATCAATTAGACGCCACATTTAATTTAACACAAATGAAAAAAGGGTTGTGAGGGAAGCAGACCTAGTCCGTTCAGTACATTGTACAGTTGACAAAATATAAAAAAAATATATGTTATGAAGATTAGATGTGACCTACAGTAGGACCTTTTTTTCACACAATAGTGCAACATATTGCACTTCACAACCTAATTTTTGTTCACATGATGTTAAATATAGTATCTGGTAAGTATATCGTGTCTAGTGTCTAAGCAGACTGGCTTCTACAACAAGATATTGGTGACAAGTGCTATTTTTTCCATGATAGTGAGAGCAGATGCAAAGAAACAGAGAGATGTGATTTGGTTTAGCTTTGATAAACATATGACACTTGACTGCTTTGCTATATACGGCTGTTGTTTTCATGCCCTACAACCATGTGAAGTTGATAGGAGAAGATTCTGTGAAAGTATCACTAAAATATGGAACATGTTACTCACAAACTCCACTTGTCTAATTAAAGGATAAGGCCGCACAGAACTTTAAAGATATTTTTTGCAGTCACAAAAAAAAATAAAATATGAAGCTGTGGTGCACAGGTAGCACTTGCAATGCATAGGAACTTTGAGTTGTATATTTATTCAAAATAATGGCATAAAAAAGCACATAAATACAAATTAAAATTAAATTAGACTTGGGAGCGGAAGAAAACAATAAAGAGATAAGCTCCTAGAGGCACAAATCACATATTTAGATACATTTATGTATATTATATAAACTACTATTTAACATAAACTTAGAAAATAGCTGTTTATAATACACATCAAACGTCTGTTTTTCCCCCTAAAATGGTCATTTTGCCCTGTCCCAATTGTATTCAACAAATTGATAGAACGTCGTAATTTTGACAAACTGTTGAAATGATATTCAATTAACTGCAGTAACTATTTTAATTATTCTTTTTTTAATTATTAATCTTAATTGCCAAAAATTCATGTCATACATCTTGCGTATGTACAACCCTATTAGTACATGACTAGAAAGTAAGTAAGAAAGTAACACTACAGTTTATAGGAGCAACATTCAGGCCCTTTCTCCAGCATAGCATTACTGAAAGAATGCATGTTTTTCTTTAATTTATAAGAAGTATAAATTAAGAAATAACTATAAACCATTGAGAAGAACAATGTAGTGTAATAGGTTGAAGCTATTTAAATATTCACAAAAGTATCAGCAAGTTAAAAAACTGAGCTCTCTACAAGAGAGTGTGTGTGTGTGTGTGTGTGTGTGTGTGTGTGTGTTTTATCACGTTATGGGGACCAAATGTCCCCACAAGGTGTGTGTGTGTGTGTGTGTGTGTTTAAAGCTGATCATAAGCAGCTCATCCGAGGTCCCATGAGCAGGACCTGCTCTCTGTCTGCTCACTCACTCAACTCCAGCCATCATAGACTCAGACACCATGACCGACCACAAACACTAACCAACTCTTAGTTCCACTTGGAGTCTGTCCCACAAGACCACCTGCCCCTCTGCAGCCCTACCTGCATCTCTAATGATCCTTAATGAGAGACATCACTGCAACATGACTGTGCCATGCACAACAACAGTGCCTTTGAGCAGGAAAGGAATTGTCTTAAAGAGATAGCTCACAAAAAAAAAAAGTGAGCTTTTTGTTTTTTTGTTTTTTTTTCCATTCAGTGATTGTCAGTGGGGTCCAGTATTGATTTGGCTTCAAGATTTACTCTTTTTTTGTTCCATGAGGATGAGGAAATGACGAATTTTAATTTTTGGGTAAACTGTTGCTTTAAGACAAAAATGTTTTTTAAAGGGGTCATATGATGCGATTTCAAGTTTTCCTTTATCATATGACTCCTTTAAGACAATACTTTTTTATAACATTCCTAAGGAGAAATAAAAAGACAAAAATGAGACAACTGTTGGCATACACAAAGTTTACATCACAGGTCTTGGAAGAATTTGATGAGAAATGTTGAATGTGTAAAGTTTGACCTTAACTAAGAGTATAAGCACCTTGCTAAAGAGATGGATAACATGGTTCCAAATTTCTGAACTTCCTAAGACTCCCAGAATGAATATTTCAGATCAGTAAATAATTAATAATTAACAAACAGGCCAATGATGAAATAGATTTGGGCTTCAACAGACAAGCCAAATCAGATGCTGTAAACAAAGACCCAAGGACCTACATTCCCTCCCTACCACCTTCCTCTCGTTTAAATATGCGCTTGTAAAATCGTGCCACGCACACATCCACATACACTCTTCTTTTGAAGAAAGACATTTTCGCTTTTCTCAATCCCAGGCAATTTTACGAAACTGAATCAGAACACTTGATCTGACCACCCGCTGATTTCTGATGGAAAGATTTGCTTTTTAATACAATCGTCAGTCGTTCTGCCACGTTGTGCCTGGCCCAGACAAATCCCAGCAGTGTGTCTTCTTGTACTGCCACAGTGAAATGTCTCATTCTCCATCGGTTAAATACCACCCTGCTGTAATCTATCACGGTGGAAATGTTAATAACATCGTCCTCTGTTTCAGCTGAGCTTAAATATGACACATTTATGCACATTTAAGACAGATGGCATGTTTTCAGGCCGTTTATCGATGAAAATATATTTAAAGGTGCAACTGATTGACGGGGTAAAAACATCAGAATCCAAACAAATGACTGATATAAAAAAAATAAAACAATCCGTTTATAGCTTTAGAATCTGTTTTAAAGAGAGCATTCTGTCCTTTCATGATTTTAATTAATGCTTTAATATGCAGATAAGATAGAGGAGATAAAATCCTGACAAACAGATGGCAAGTGAACTTTCTCTGTTCTGGCATGTTCTTAAGTTGCGGTATCATTTTTTGCAACGATGTGTGAAGCAGCAGCTCTGAGAGATCAGCAACAACTCTTATCTTTGCCTAACTTTGATGGGATCTTCTGTCTTTTAGTCAAACTTGATGAATATTGGAACATGCTATAGAAAAAATTAGTTTACATGAACAACTTTACAATATTAATTGTGATAGCAAAATCCACAATTTACATTACCAGACATGGGCTGACAGGGCGAAGTCCCCGAATTTTGTGTGTAAAGAAAGTAAATTCAATTTGTTTATCAATAAACACAGTACAATACAAAAAAAATAACAATTATTTGGTAATACTATTCCTTTACACCTCTAAACAATAATACTTTTCACAATGTTTCCATAGTTTTTGACCACTGAACCAAATGCCTTTGATTTTCATTTCTATAGATTTATAAATATAGATTTAAACATCTATAGTTATTAGTGCAAAAATGTCTCCAATAAGACCCTCAACAGACAGAAAAATGCATATACACAACATACATTTCCAAGATCCGTGACTTTTTAAGATTTAATTTATTTCCATGATATTCCAGGCCTGAAAACTATAGTTTAAAAAAATCCTGATATTTCCAGGCAGACCTGAGGACCATCTGCAGGCAAAATTACTGTTCTAAACACTTAGATAATCAGGATGAGGAACAGCTGACAACTGACCTTTTCCTCTTTCAAATGTTGGTCCAGATCCAGTCTGATGAGTGAACGGTTGATCTTTAGGGCCAACGACAGAGCCATGAGGCCCCCAGTAAGCACCTGGTTCTGCCGTACGTCCAAGCGCTGGATCTGTGGACTCTCTGCAAGGATCTCAGCCAAAGTCACAGCACCTGGCACGGTGGTAGAAAACACAGGCTAAGTTATAAGGTAAAACAGAAATGCATCCCAGGAAAAAAGGAAATCTAAAAGGAGAGGATGTGTCAAAGAGCTAGAAAAGCAATATTATGAACCCTACCCTCGCATGTTATTCCTGTGGAGGCTAGGCCAAGTTGCAATAAAGAGCGATTGATCATGAGAGACTCCTTTAACGTGTGAATGCCTCTGTTCTCAAGGTTGTTTTTGCCAAGGTTCAATGTTTCGAGTGTTTTTAAGCGGGGCTGAAAAAAATAAAAATAAAAACAGGATGTTTAAGAAAACGTGGACTGATGAGGTTTTTAAATCACTTTTTAGAATTCAAAAGTGTCCTTTTTTTCTGTGCATTTGAATCCAATTATGGATGGTGAATTTGTGTCACTTTGAGAGCTTTAAGTGTCACACTGTGGCAATAGATTGGCTCTCAAGAGCATATTAGCTGCGTCATTTATGAAGCACGATTAGCAGCCATATAAAGCAGGAGATAGCGGAGCACATGAGGGAAAAGCCATGTTGCATAACAGAACATACACCATGCCAGCTCGCTACACTCATTATTCTCACTTAGTCTCCTGCTTTAAATGAAAAACCACAGACAGCTAAAAAAACAAGCTCAGAGATCAACTAACAGTTAATTTGCATCACTGTTACAACACTCAAGCATGTAAAACACCCACACACATACATGCACACGCACATATACGGTATACTGTATGTATGCAGACACAACCAACAAGCCCAGTCAAAGATTCATAGAAAGAAACAAACTAGAAAGAATGTCACTGAAATGTCATTTCAAATGTAAAACACTTGAGAATTCAACAGAATTTTTGTCATGTTATCTGTTTTGTTATTAGGAATATTTTTTACCTGTAAATATACTAATATGAACTTAGTACACCCAAAATATTCTACCATCATATTGTTCCACCTTCATGTTGCTCCAAATCTGTATCATTTTCTTTCTTCCGTAGAACAGAAACGATGGTGAGAAGAACATACATAGAACATAAAAGTTTGAGAAATCTCTCAGTGTTTTTTCCACACACGATGGATGTCTATTTGATTACCAATAATCTTCAAAAGATCTTCTTTTGTGTTCTGTAGAAGAAACTCTGAGTTTCCATTCCATTTACATGAGTAAATGATAACAATATCTCTTTAAATAATATAAAATGTATTTGTATTAAAATCAAAGGAACAAAGGCATTAATAATAATTATTGTTATTATTTTTGCTACTATTATTATTATTATCATTAAATAATAATAAATGTTTGTTTGTAAGTGATGATGAAATAAGAACAAAAAACAGGATTAAGAAAATGCAAACTATTTAAATAAATAAGCAATCAATATTTTAATTAATAACTAAAGGTATTAATTAAAATTCGGATTAATTTTACTACAAACATTGCGAGTATTGTTAACATTACATACATTTAAAGTTAACTGAAGTAGCGTTATTCTAACAGCCTATGGTTGACAACTTCAGTCTTCCGATTTGCAATTGGTCAGACAAGGATCCGCTGAAAAATGTGGATAACATTGTGATTTAATTATGTTCTGCTGACATCAGAGAGTTGTGTGTCTGCCCAAATAACCCATTTATTCCCTCTCTCTTCTTCTGCCTTTAAAGAAACCCCAGAAAAAAAAGAAAGGTTAATAACAACCCTTCCTGTGTCATATTCGACACGACCAGCCATTGGACTAATTATATTCATTATGGCCGCATGGATGTCTACTTATCCTTCTTAATGACAGACCACATGAAAAAGCCCTCTAAACACATATCTATTATTTAATCAAACTGTTCCCATTTGGTACAGGCAAAATGGAATGAGCAGGCTTTATTTTTGGCCTGAATGAATTCTCTGTGAACACGCCAAAGGCCGAGAGAAGAGAAAGCAGGCCTTTAATTTGTAGCTTTTGATTTGAATCGCCATTCAGATGACAGAAAGGTACAGTTTATTCTGACAATCAGAGCTGCTGAAGAGGAATAGATATTATTAAGGATTAGAGATGAGCTTTCCAGTGAGGATGAGACAAGCCATTTCCTTTTGTTCTCTTCTCTTTTCTCTCTGTGTGTCAAAATCTGCCGTAGACCACAAAAAAAAAGAAAAAAAAAGCGAGATATCCAGTAGCTGTCGCGTTGACAGTTTGGGTACTTCCTCTCCAAAGCCAAGCAGGGGCCACATGCAGTGTCACTGTTCGTCTTTAATCAAAGCCACACTCAGATAAAATAGGAATGAATAAATAACTGAAAAAGTAACATACTGAGTGAAAATCATTGTATTTACTACAATGTGCAACCCGCAGTTTATTCTACAGGAACAGACCCACTCAAAAATTCAACTTCCCTGGAAAACAAAAGGTGAATTTTCAGGTGAACATCCCACTCTTTTCCATGTAATGTAAGTGAATCAGGACTGGGGCTGTCAAGTTTTCTGAAGCCATGCAATAGCTTATTGTAAAAAACAGAGTGAAATTTAATTGCTATTTAGTGAAAATCCTCTGCATACATTCATGAATGAATCGTTCTTTCAAATCTTATTTTTTATGGTGCTGATATGGTGATTTTGCTTCTTTTTTACATAGGTAAGAACACATTTTGAATTCCTTCCAAATTTCTCCTTTTCTGTTTCACTGAATAAAGAAAAGTCATACAGGTTTGGAACAACATCTGAGTGTCTATATGATGACAGAACTTTCATTTTTGGGGAACCATTTTCTTTAAATAAAACACAGTGTGAAAAGCAGTTGTGAAAATGTTTCAGCAAATTACTGATGCACAATCTTCCAGATGTGTTCATTTTTAACTTCCTCTGCTTTTTTAAGTCTAGAAGTGCTGCTGTAATGATTAAAATCGCACATATCTCTATTATCTTGCCCTGAGAGAAAATCTCACCAGAACATTCTGTAGATGGCTCATGCCAAGATGAGTGATGTGATTGTTACTCAGTATCAGCGTTCTCAAACCAGTCTTCTGAGAGCTCAAAGCATCACAAATCTCTTCCACACCTGTGGAACAGAGAGAGATGACTACACAAGAGCTGAAACAAATTGTGCATTTAACCACAAAAACCTTTTCACCCATGCTATTGGAAGCACACAATGTGTCCTCAAACAAAATGGGCATACCTGAGTCAGACATGGTATTGTTGTTTAGGTCCAAGGTTTTAAGAGTGCTGTTGTATTTGAGGAGGTCGCCAAGTTGCATGGAGTCCTGGTAGCCGTTAAGGTTGTTTTCAGAGAGGTAAAGCTCCTGCAAAGCGACGTTCCTTTTCAGAGCACCAACTACGGCAAAATTTTTTAAAAATCTTCAGTAAGCACGGTGCATTGTCCTTGTCCGAGATATGTGTGCTGAAGAACTCTGCCACAGTGCAACAACAAAAGATGTCATGCAAGACAATCTGCAGAAAAAAGAACGGATTTCTGTGGATGCCCACAGCGGTTCTTCCAAATTACCACAAAGGTTCATTGAAAACTTTAAGGTTGTGTAGGACTAACTCCATTATCATTTTTATTTACATCGCTGTGATTATCACGGTCATCATTTTAATCATCATCATCATTACATGTCCCATTTAGGGCCAGAGAAGCTTTTATGGGCTTTTTGTCTGTGGCCTCAGAGAACTGTCTGTCCAAATCAATCCGGCAGATTTGATCAGACCCTTTCGGTTGCATGCGGAATGCCAACATCGTCATCATACACAGTGGGAACCAAATAGGGGGATCGTTGAATTGATCGGAGGGACTCCACTGTGCGAGTCAGCGAGTCCCGCAATCAGGGCCCCACCGATCGATAGCAATGATCAGAAGCTGGGCGTCCTGCTGGGAAGAATGAGGGGGGCAGCCGAGTGGCCCCAAAATATCAAATGGATCCACATGCTGCTTAGAGACAGAGCCATAAAGACATAGGATGTGCCACTACACTCCTCTGTCTCATTTAAGGTCATTTTACTTGGGTGCTGTTAATGGCCTACGTCTACAACATCTGTTTCTCTCTCTTTCTTTTTACCCAGTCATTTTCAGGGCTACTATTTCCATTCAGACATTTGCATAATGTCTCAGCAGTGGCAACAAAAAATGTTTCTATGCACAAATACCCTGATTACCAAAAAAAGCAGCATGATACGCTTAGAGCATAGACTACTGTATCCCACAATGCAATGCACTTGACCAGTGTGATGAATGAATTGAAAGTTACCTGTATATAAGCCACAATTTTTCAATTTCAATTTTTTCAAATTCAATTTGAGACATGTTTACACAAAATTGGATTAAAATGCAGAACAAATAGATTATGAATGTATCTCTGCTGTTTCACTTACTTAAAAATAAAATAAAATGTATTAAATTAAAAACAATAAAATGTAATAAAACAATGAATGGAATATGCAAGTATGCATGTTTTAATGCGTTTTAATATTGTATTATCTTTAACTACAGATTGTCATATGAATAACTACTGCCATTATTTTGTGGGATCACTAAGCCAGATACAGGATTCCATAGGTTTTATATGTTTTAATATTACATGTTTTAATGACAGTGTTTTGCACAGGTTTGAAGGGCCTGCACATCTCTGTAAAAGCTGTGGTGTGTAGTCCTGTGTCCTTTTAAGGAGGCTAGCTCTACAATGCAGTGGGAAAGACTCCATCTCACAGTGAGCTGGCCGAAGTGTTCTGAATGGATCGGTGCAGCAATGTGTAAAGTGACAGGAAGAAGATTACGACATCTAATCCAAGCCCAGTCTAGCTGTTAGGGTCACTGGGCCAAAATCTGCCACTCCTCCCCTTGTCCTGCTTCATCTGTTCCTGCTGGCCTGGGCCGCTCATGGAGAACGCTCATTTCAAACACATGCTATCTGTACTTTAGTACTGACATATTGCAGTATTCACACAAGAGCAAGCGAAGCAACTCGTAGACTGATATTAGCACTTTCTGCATTGTTAAAAAAATCTTTCTGAAGATTAGGTGTGATTTTTGAAGATAGCGCGCCCTTCGGGACGGTGTGTTGTGCTGTCATGTTATCATTAAAGGATTCAAAACTCCACCTGGAGTAAATGTACTTATGCAGTGGGAAATTTTGCACAGCACTTGCTAGAACAACATCAAACTAAATGTCACAATAAAAAAAAAAAAAAAACATTTGGCCATCCTTATTATGAGTCTATATTAGCACAGATGCACTTTGCTGTGTTTTTCATTATTTAGCCACATTAATGCGGAGCAAAAATTCAACCAAAAATGACATTTTGCTGAAAATGTGCTCACCCTCAGACCATTCAAAATGTACATGAGATTGTTTCTTCATCAGAACAGATCTGGAGAAATTTAGCATTACATCACCTGCTCACCAGTCCTCTGCAGTAAATCAGTGCCTCAGAATGAGAGTCCAAACAGCTAAAAACATCAGAATAATTCACAAGAAATCCACACGATCCCCAGTCCATTGTAACTTCAAACTGTTTCTTCCAGCTAAAATGTGACTCCATAAACCAGGGGTTCTCAACCTTTTTTGGGCCAGAGCCCCCCCACCCATTATCCAGGTCCCTTACCACCCCCCATCAAATAAAATGTAGTCTAATCGTCTTCAATGAATGATGACTATAATTATATGTACAGTACCATTCAAATGTTTAGGGTCATTACGATTTTAAGAAATTAAATACTTTAATTCAAGGATCCATAAATTGATCAAACGACAGTAAAGTGTTTTTTTTTTTTTTAGTAAAATATTTGGAAAAAAGTCTAAGAACATTCATTTACAGAGTTTGTCACTGAACCCCATTTGAACCCCTTTGTCCCAAAGGTTTAAAAGACTTGTTAAAAAATTCTGTTTAGAATATATCCACAGGAGAATTTATACAGAAGAGATTTCAGTTTGTTCTTCCTTTCTTGGAACACTTGAACACTCTTTTTACTGCAGTGATTTTACCTCTAATTTTTGGGTGGAAGTTTTCAATTATCTTTCGTGAAAAATACTATATTTATCCCTTAGTTTTAGAAAATACCCTGTTTTTAAGAATATATTGATTTCTGTTTTCTGACAGAACATGGTAGTTTTGGTGGGTAAATATCACATTTACACATGTAAATGGAAGGAATTTAATACAAATTTTTTTTTACTAGTTTTCTTAAATTTTGTGAGAATAATTCAGTTTTCTTTCAAATACTTCAAAGAAAATTAAGCAGAAAGATGGGAAACGTATGCTTCTCGTCAAAATACTATTTTAGTGCTGTCCTGATTTATATCTTTGTTATAGTCATGAGTCCATTACATTTAAATCACATGTTCCATTTTATATTTATATATATATCTTTCTGTTCATTGAAAAATGGAAACACCTCCACAATTATTAAGCAGCATAACCATTTTCAGCTATATATAACAGCTATAATAATAATCAGAAATGTTTCTTGAGCAGCAATCTGCATTATTTCTGAAAACTTTAGCATGAGAGGAAAAATTCATTTTAATATATATTAGAATAGAAATCAGTTCTTTCAAATGGTAGATTTACTGTTTTTACTGTATTTTTTAATAAATGAATGCAGTCTTGCTGAGCAGTAAGAGATTTCTTTCAAATCAATTTAAAAACCTTACTGACCTCCTTTTGAATGGTGGTGTATATATATATATATATATATATATATATATAATTGAAAAGTGTCAATTGTGTGAGTCACCCTAAATCCTAGTTTCCCAAGGAGCAGAAAAAAAGTGAATATAAATTATATTTATGACCAGCCGCAACCAATAAGAAAACAAGAAGCATTCATGTTCATTTTTCCAAACAAGAACAAGAAAAAATCATATCGTGGTTTATCGTGTCTGAATGGTAGCTATTGTTTTGACAAGAAGTTCGCCAGCTGCGCTACAGAAAGCTGATCGAACACTGAAGTAAAGAGTCGTTGCTCTGGAAATGATACAACGTTTAGTAGCATTGACGTAAGCTGGCAGGGACACTAAACTACTACACGCAAACAGCGCAATACATTGCTTCAAAGCGCATTGAACCTATTATAATCAGCGATTGATTCAGTAAACGAATGCTGCGTTCTATTTCTGACAGACTCCATGCGCTTGCGCTACCATGCGAAATGGACAAATAGAAATGAAAAATTCCCTTTGATGCATCCAATGTAGAGATGGTGTTAGGACATTTGGACATAGGACATTCATAAAGTTTGGGTGTAAACACACCTTAACCAAACTCCAGAACACCTCAGCCTTTCAAAAAGAAAAATATGCACAGATCAGATCAATGTTTACAAGTGAAAACAGTCCAAAACAGTTCTAAACAAATATGACAATATATTATATATGAGAGGACAACATGGGGATGGACTTTTTCACTGGATAAAGTGTTATTATGGATCATGGACCCATAATGGCCAGAAGTGATGGTTTAAAGTTACAACGGCCTAATGATGAATGCAGCTTTTTACTTCACAAGGCATTAATTGATGGACTGTGGATTATTGTGATGTTTTTATCTGCTGTTTGGATTCTCATTCTGACGGTACACTGAAACTGAGAGTGAGTAAATTTATATCACTTTTGGGGGGGGGGGATTTCCCACAATGCACTTGTTAGCATCATTTGCATTTCACAGCACAGGGTCATATTCTCAGGCCGCTATCACACAAACTTTCTTCCATTCTTAGATCGCGTACACTTCAAGTGGATGGTGTGTGCTGGGCATACCAAGTGTGAAGAGAGGTTTGCCGCTCAGGCAGGTGTTTTCAAGGTGTAGCACTGTCAGCCTGCTGGTGAGAAGGGCTTTTGACAAGGCCTGCACGGCGTAGTCCACCATAGGCATGTTGCAAGCATCCAGCCTCCACAGGCATCCACTCTGAAGAGACCAGACAGCAAACCATCAGAGAGAGAGAGACACAGAGACTCAGAGGCCTGGTTTTGCCCTCGCTGCGGACTGGCCTCTCTGTCTCACCCTCTCTCATCAAAAAACCTCCCTGTCTACAGAAGCAGAAACGTCAAAACCGGAAAACAATTCTGACGGGAGATTCCCAAAGATCTGCAGGCCATTCCAGAGTTTCATCCTTTAGTCCACCACTTCAAAGTGTCCAGATTTTTTTCTTCTCTCTCTTTCTTGAGAGATTTTGATTGATCTCATATAATACTGCCTGAGAGCATGCCTTTGGTTTTTACCATTGAAGTCCTCATCACCATGAGGTGATGCCGTCTTTCATCTAGAGCTGTTGCTAAATGAACACATATTGTCAGGAGTTTTATGCGGACTATAATGATGTCCATTAAAATCAAAGTGTGAATGTGGCTTTATTCAGCAGTGCGGACATTTTCCTCTTTGATGCATGGTAATTCATTGCTTCCAATTCAATCTGAATACCACTGTGAGGTATCGGTTCACACTTGATGACACATTTAAAACATGAGTAGTGTTATAGAACTTAAAAAATGAAGGCAGCTGTTTGCATAGATTTTTTTAGTTGAATTCATTTAATTTTTAGATAAAATGTCAAGTTGCCAAGACTTACAATGTGCCATGATTTAAAGAATAAATAAATATATATATTTTTTAGTTGAGTCGACTTAAAAGGCATTAAAGATACAAATTCTTAATCGTATTTACATGGTTTAAATTGTTTAGTTTGTTTTGTTAATTAATATGTGAATCACAAAGTAACCAAATCCATTTACTTGCACAGCATTCATTAGGCTATTTGATTAAAATAATCATTTTTACAATAATAAACGGTTAAAAAACAGCATATTATAACTTAATTATTTATGCCACAACTCACTGGCCAGTAGGATTTTATGTGTGGTGTAGAAATATTCATATCTTACCTGTCGGAGGAGGTGTGACAGTGACAGCCAACCTGAGAATCCCATGCCTGAGTTCGAGGACATGTCGAGGTGTGTAGCTGACTCGTAGTACAAAAACATATCTAGCAAAGATGATGCTCCCTTATGAAAGAAAATAAGTCAATGTTGACAAGTAAACAGAACTCTGACATTAAAAAATAAATATTTTTGTACCGAGTTTTAGGAACGGGCATGAGCATGACGTGAGAGTTTTTTATTTTTGGTGCCAAGAATGCGGTAGTTTGGCGTAGGGCAAATCTTCGCCACGGAATCTACGCGACTGCTGAAGAAACATCACGTTGTCTGAATTTAATGTGTTGAGATAAAATGATCGTCTACCGCAAAATAATGTTAAGAAAACAGGCTTCCTGTAGTCATGAACAAATGACTCAAGCAGCGTGCTCTTTTAACGGGGTCATATGATGCGATTTAAATTTTTCCTTTCTCTTTGGAGTGTTACGAGCTCTTGGTGCATAAAGAAGATCTGTAAAGTTGCAAAGACTAAAGTCTCAAATCCAAAGAGATATTCTTTATAAAAGATAAGAGTCAACCACGCCTACCTAAAACGGCTCGTTCTAACACGCCCCCACATGTCTACGTCACGATGTGGGAAGATCTGCATAACGCCGCCCAAATGTTCACGCAAAGAAAGAAGGGTAACTTTTATTCTCGCTGTAGTATTGTTGTTGCCGCGGCCGCCATGTCGTGAAGACACTGTGTGTTTCGTTGTGAAAGCGAAACTACTTTGTTTGGCCTTCCAAAAGAGGACAATATCCGCTTCGTCATCCTAGAGCTGATCCGTGCTGGTCATTGAGGAAATACATCAACTTCGCGATGTGGATCGCCGGATCGGCTTTCACCGTGGACGAAGCGGAGTCCAGCCCGGGGTCGTCACATGTGGTTGCTGCAGGCATCACAATATGGTAAGGGATGTAACATTTCCGTCACACGCTTGAGGAATTCGGCCAATCACAACGCACTGGATAGCTGGCTAGTCAGAGCACACCTTGCTTTTCAGACCGATGAGCTTTGTAAAAATCGACGAGAAACAATAATGTACAGTATGTGGAAAATAATGTGTTTTTTGAACCTTAAACCGCATAAACACATTTCATTACACCAAATACACAAAATAATGTTCTTTTTAGCAACATCATATGACCCCTTTAA